CAAACGGAGACATACCATCTAACACTTTTCCCCCAAGGGATTACGTAAAACTGCTTAAAACTCTGTACACATTATGTAAATTTTGTTTAATCCCTGATGATGAACTGTTAAGTTCGAAAACGTTCGGTACAAACTAATCAAAAATGTTCAGCCTTCTTAATTGTAGAATTCTAAATCACGATTGAGTTTTCAAAGATTTTTTCAAAAATCTAAAAGGTCTGAGTTAAAACGGTTGTATTTACATGTATTTTCAAAGGATCAAAACCCTTGTTGTGCCCTTGACACAGCTCTACTGATAATTTTTAACATAGAAATACCATTTTAAAAATCATAAGCGTAAAAAACGTAATTCCTGCTAGAATTTGTATTTGTATGGTAATAGCATGTTTTGTAAGTGCAGGTATTTTGGATAATTAAATTTTCCACGCGTTGTTCTTAAAACTTTTCATGTTCGCCACCAAGCAGTTTTTCCCCGGTTTCAAACTCTTAAATTGGTCTTCTTTCAACTTTAGACACGATTATTTATATCGAAAACTATAATAAACATGTAGGGTTAGTGACAGTTTTATTCAATATTTTGCATATCAAGTTTTTTGTCCTTTTTCTAAGCTACAAATCCGCCAACTAAGGTAAAGAAAGCGTAAGAATTAAAGACCCGCGAAAATAATTACTACACAAATAAGACATATATTATATCATTCTCATTTTTGTCAGATTGGCGAAAATTAATGCCAGCAAAAATTAAGTATGCTTCATAAGAAATACAAAAATTAAATGAAATAAGAAAATGGAAAATAAAAAAAATGATGCTGCTTCTGACATTCAGCGTCTGGGTTGTAGGTGAGTTAATCATTGCGTATTAATAATACATTATCCGTGAAGCAATAGGCCTTCAAAGTGTGAAAATCGGTAATTATAAATCCATAGCCAGATGACGTCTAACAAAAAATTTTCTGATTCTCTGTGAGCTGATTTTATATAAAGTAAATAATTGAATGGTGAAATGTTTCTGCATTTCAGTGTTGCATCTTTGAGTTTTGAAGGTTTAATCTTCCAATGTGTTAATGATAATGACGCAAGGGAGGCTTCATTAAATATACGAACTTTGAAACAGTCGCTCAAAAGTGTTTTCATGAACGCCATCTGGTAATGTGGTTATTCCCTACATTGCATACGATAAATTTAATGCCATGAAACCATTTTTAAGCGACTACTGCTAAGTCCTTTTCAGTTGATCTTTACACAGGGAGACCAAACGAGTATTTTCAATAAAAAATTGGTGGATTTTGGAGTTACTGAATTGCCCTATTACATTATGACGTCACAGTATGTTTTCATGCAAAAAATAAGTGGAAACGATGTTTTGACCCATTAACATTCTCCACAAAAATAGAACTTCAGTATATCGTGTTTTGATATAATCATGTATCAATGATTGCTCCAGGGATGCCAACCCCCGAACTTTTCAAATCTTGAGATACGAAAATGATGACGTCATACCGGAAATGACGTTTCATAACATTATCGATGACGTCATMGCATTTATCAAATTTTGCTATAACTAGTGATTTGATTGGATGTATCTTAACCAATCATATTATAGATTGTATTGTGCATTTGAAAAAGGCTACGGATTTTTTGTATTTTTTCAGAACTAAAATGACACAGATATGCAAGGTAATTTGCGTTTTAATAGATGAAAAGAGATATTTCAAAATACTGATATATGAATCGTCATTATTCGGGAGATTTAGCGGTAAAATCTTGAGACCGGGAGAAACGGTCGAAAATCTTGAGACTCCCGGATTATCCGGGAGAGTTGGCATCCCTGTTGCTCATGTACATTTTATTTGATATGCAGTCACTCTGGTCCCCTTTTGGCGACCATAATCCTTAGCGTATAAGCAATAGAATGTTTTGATGTGACGTCATAATGAAATAGGGGAATTATACACTGATGAGGGAAGTCTAACGATAAGATTTTAAAGATTTTTTTAAATTAAAATTATCATCTACACGTGAGGGTAATGAGCTACCCAAATCATAGTCAAAGTTTTCTGTGTCCAGTCCAAGTCCAAGTCTAGTTTATTTTACAACATGCCCGGTCGATCAGACACTCGAGATTTTTCTACTGTCATGTCGAAGAAGATGCCAAATTTCCTATTAAATTGACAGAAAACAAGAAAAAAAAAGGGAGTGGATTTTAATTTTCAAAGGTAAAAGTAAATAGCAATTCTTAGCTTTATCTAGAGTACAATAGCGGTTGGAATGAAATGCGCTGAGTTTGCATCTTACGACTTTCTTTAAGCTTACCTTAGTTGGCAGATTCGTAGTAAAGAAAAAGGACAAAAAACCCTCTTTGTAATTTGCAAAATATTGGATAAAACTATCACTAACCCTACATGTTTATTAGTTTTCGATATAAATAGCAAGGTTGACAGAAGACCAATTTAAGAGTCTGAAACCGGCGAAAAACTGCTTTGGCGAACGTGACAAAGAACAATGCGTGCTAAAAAACATGCTATTACCTATAGAAATATAAATTCTAGCAGGAATTACGTTTTTTGGATAAATTCTAGCAGGAATTAGGTTTTTTGGCTAAATCAAACTTAACTCAACCTTAACTCAACCTTAACTCAAACTCAACTCAACCTTAACTCAAACTCAACTCAAATTCAACTCAACCTCTATTAACTCAATGATTATCTTCTCTCATTTACATTGATATCATTTCATGAATTGAATGAAGTTGTTATTTGGAATGTTTGCAATATTTTGTTTGCTAGACTTACAAAGATAATTTCCTTACTTTAATTGTTTTGTCCCTTCCACCTGATACCATAATATCACCATATCCATCAACACCATGAATACTACCAGAATGACCAGCGTATATACCATCACAATACCCTGTAGGCATAAACCATGTACGCAGTGTTTTATCTTCACCACAACTTATCAACTGGTCGCCACGGCAAACAAAGTGATTGACATCACACTTATGTCCTTTAAATATCATTTGCTGTTGCCAAAGTGATATTGGACCATTCCTTTTTATATTGTAGTATAACATGACTTCTGGGCCTTGTGCTACAAACAGTTCCTTTGTCCTTCTTAGATACAGGCTAGGCATAAATCTATAGGAAAAGAAACAGATWACAATGTTTAAGTTATACTAAAGAAAATAATACAAAATACAACACTACAAAATTATCCTTTACCATATATTCCTTGGCACAAGTTTGCTGATTTACTAATTCAAAAATTTATTTCTTCCCATTTTTATTGTCACGAACAAAAATGCCTTTTTTATTACTTAGTTACACAAAATTTCCACAAAAATAATGCATCATATATATATTCTTGATGCTCTTCCGAGATTAAAGGCGTGGGGGGTGGTGAATAGGTTTTCAGATCAGCCAATCAGGACCTAAAATGGCACACGGATTACGGATTTTTAAGAAAAAATAGAGCGGATTGCCGGATTCTTAAAACTTACCGGATCATGGATTTAATGAAAATTTAGTGTTGGATTTCGGATTCTATAATGGCCAAAAATCTTTTGTGCGAAATAACTGGATATTGTGTGGAAACGTCTTCTCTGAGCTTATTATGGCAAATATGAATTGGTCTTGAATTAGCAGGAATTTATGATTTTCTTATTATCGATTGCTATTCGGATTAAAGCTAACTTATGTGCAGATCGGCGGATTTTAGAAAAAAAATGAGCGGATCGGCGGATTCAGAGACCCCTATACACCCCCCCCCCATTAAAACTATAAAATTTTCCAAAAATCACTGGCCCCCCCACATATTTGAGTGCTCCGCAGTCCCTGAAAGTTTGTAATTATTTAATAATTATTGAATTATTGTTATGTGAGTAAATGAAATGTGTTTTTGATGGCATTCCAATTAATGAAAAAGATCAAAGCTGAATTACATAATAAGTCTAATAAAATTCAGAAAAAAAATTACAAATTGCAGTCTACAAAAAAGCATATTAGTTAGTTGAGAACAAAATTGCRGGAAAAGCAAATAAGCATTAAGTGTGCAACATTTAAACACTTTAAGTAATGGCCCGAGTAAGAACTAGGGAAGCAAACAGCAAAGGAATGCAAGAAGATGCTAATTGTGTATTGTATAATCCATCCATCCCATTGGTTTAAACAAGAAAATCTGCTATAATTTCACAAGTTAGCGCATTTTTTAATATTTTATTTAATATATTATTCCGACTTCACAAAAGCTTTCTTTAGCTACAATATTAAGGCAATTCTATGTGGGGAACACAGCAAATTAGAAGCTTCTTTTGGCTATTGTTTTGAGTGCTTATGATTGGATAAGAGGTTTTAATACAAAAGAAACTCTGTTTCAAAATAAAGTTTATCCACATTTTATTTCAAAAATGTGTTAGCCATATAGGTTGATATATAATCATGTGTGAAAACCAAGACATTCGTATGAGGGGAAGTTGCATTGCCGCAGAACAATAGAGAGTTCCCTAGTTCTTAAGTGCATTGTTACTTAAGCATGTAGTCAAACTAAAGAGAAAACAAGTCGAATATGAATTGGTGACTATTTCGTTTTCACTGACTTTTTAATGAATTTTTCTAGGCAATCTTGAAATGTTTTGTTCCTTTTTCATTGGCATGGCTCTATATATTAAATTCAAAGGTGAGTTATTTTCTAAAATGAAGCATCACATTTTAAAAAGTAGATCTATAGATCTATTATAAGAAAGTTTGATCATATGTACAGAATAATATAATTAACAGATGATTTTTCATTCATTTGAARGATTTTAGATGCAGGAATTTAATGCTATTTTCAATGAATAACAAAGCCTGGWAAATAAATTTCTATCACACTGTACATCACCTACCATCAAATATAGATTATACTTACTTAGTTTTAAATTTTAGCATACATCTATCTTTACAGTATCCTCTTGTCCAGTTAATAGACACATGGCACAAGTATTTCCAGCTCTCGCCACTATAAATAATCAATAGAACAACCACTGTTAGCCCGCTTCCAGCTTCTCCAACATGTAAAGGCGGCTAGATACGAGATACAAAAACCATCAACTTGGCACGCAACATTGTTTCTGTTAAAGTTGAGTATCAAAGTTTCTCATTTTCCATGCATCAACTTGTTATGCAACAAAAATACATCGTGAAAAAACGAGAAACACCGATGCTCAACTTGAACAGAAACAATGTTTCGCGCCAAGTTGAGGGTTTTTGTTTCGCGTATTTAGCCGCCTTAAGAGTTTATATAGTAAGAGTAGGAAGGAAAATAGACCAATAGGAGCAAGGTAGGCATGGTAACGTGAAATAAACAAAAATGCAAAGGAAGTGTTAGACAAAAGAACAAAAAAGGTGCTAAAAAGGGAACAAAGGATAAACAACCTATCTGAAAACAAARCGTTCATTCAACCCATAGGGATTATAAGCGCCCAATTGGTGAATGAGCCGCATTTCTTTGGTTTTTACAGTGGATGCCATACTTATAGCTAAATGGACTATCAACTTGTAGTTCACAGGATCGAGTGGTCTAATTGCCATATCCAGCAAACTATAGTGCAAATTTCAAAAAAGACTGTAAGAACAAAGAATCTTTCTCAACATTTCTTTTGCTATTTTCATTTTATTCAGTGCTACCTAGTATATATATCATGAATAGTCCATAGTTCAGTARCCAATCAGAAYGCTGGATTTGCAAAAGTTTGGTGGATTCTAAACAACATTAATAATGTAGTTAGAATATTATAAGCCAATGAACTTACACATAGATTTGATTGTCATCGATGCAATGGAAGTTGAGAACAGTAAATGGACCAGAGAATTACAAATAACAGATTGCATTACTATGGTGGCCCTGAAGTGACATCACTACTGGTGAATTGATCTTTATCGTTATATAATTTTGCTGTTATTTTTCTGAGTTGCCAGTTGCCAGTTGCTGGTTGCTGGTTGTCGGTTGCCAGTTGCCACAATTACTTGTTGCTATGGATTTAGCTTGTCACATGATTGACCACATGTGATGAATTGCACTTTAATACTTACATAAAAAGTGCTTTAAAGAATCATAACCAACTGCCGTRCGTTGYGCGCTCATGTTATTGTTTACATACATTTAAATGCGTCAAGCATACAATAAATTATAGATTGATAGTACCTGTGAGGTACTTAKTKAAATRTATTTCTGTCCAAACTGAAAGGACAGAAGACGATTCCCGCTCACTTTAAGAAATCCTACGAATCCACCATTTTCGTGTCCACCTAAAATGGCGTTTCGGCTCGCAATGTACGGCGGTTGGTTATGATTCTTTAAGGAAGGATGTTGCTGAATTATATACAATGGTCCATCTGACCAATTATGAAGAAATGAATTAATTATAGCTAGATATTTCAATCTTGGATTTAGCGGCCCAGAAATACTATCATTTCTCTTGAAAGCTCATAATATACAATTGAGCTTACGACAGTTGAGAAGGATTTTGAAGGAACTAGGTTGTCAAAGACGAGAAGGACAAATCTCATGTTTTAGCAATTTTTAGAGAATAGAAAATAGTTGCGAATAAAAAATATGCAAATACAAGAAAGAAGTTCTATCGAATCATCTAATTTATAATTTGTAATTTAATTTAAAAAACATTAAAAATTATATGGATTGTCAACACAGGAAGCCCATCCACATAGTTAACCACGTGACAACTTCTGGCAAACTGGCAACTCAAAAAAGATTTATAAAAAAGCAAAATAATAGCGAAAAAGATCAATTTAGTGATGTMAGTTCAGAGCCACCGTAATTTAGTGATGTCACTTCAKGGCCACCGTACATACCCCGTACATACATTACAACAGTATCAATAAAAAAATTAAAGAACGCATTAATTAAACTGAGACTTTAGCTGGGAGTTAATACGTAAGGTGTTTAAGCTTAACTTATAAAAGAGTTACATACATGTAGCTACTAGCCTGAGTTTCATCCAGCGCAAGCTTAACTTATAAAATAATTGAGCTTATATTACATAGCTAGTAGCCTGAGTTTCATCCAGCGTTTACGCGTAAATTTTGAAAATATCGGATGTAAGGCTACTGTACATTTAATAACTTACAACAACACTAACTTACTTTTTGTCTGATTTCTTCACATTGATGCACCGTTTACTAATTCGTCGCCATACTACGTCATGACTAGCTACTCTGTTAAGATTTCGGCTCACACAGGACAGAGAAAGTAAAGTTTTCACACTACAGAAAGATAAAATGGCGAACAATACATCGTCTGGAAGATGATCCAACTTCACTTCGCAGAACTGTTTTGTTTCCTGAGACATGGGAGGCGAACAGTAGCGATAGAGCAAGCACTAGGAAAAATTGATTGCTGTATTTCATACTAACTTGAAGACGCGAATGACAGAAATTGGAAAAAAATCAACGTCAACTTTATCATATGAAAACTCTCGAGGTACGAGATTGCTAAAATGGCTGAATAACAATAGAGCCCAGTCCCCGCCAGAGCGAAGATAAATAATTTTATTCAATTTCTAGCGCACTGAAACAAATTAAAATTCTTTGCTTGTCCTCTGATAGATTATTAGACATTATTAGYTTTAACGTCTGAAAAAACATGCCGATAAATGTAAAAAATAGAAATAATCATCATAAATAAAACATAAAAAAATAAAGTAGGGTAAAGTCGGTAAATGTAAAAAAAACACAATCGATAACACATCCTGATAATAATGTACATTGTTATGCACGTCTGTTTTCTGTTTCAGGAGTGCGATCGAATGCGATCTAAGCTTACATTCTTGTTCGAAAACGCTTTTGTGATTAAGCCAAATTATGGATGTTGATTTTTTTATGCTTTCGCGCAGCAATCTGACTTTAGAATGAACCAAAATTAGGATAGATACTTTCTTCCGTAATTTACCGGATTTMGACTATTTTTTGGATAATTTTCGTTAGAGATAAAATTACATTGCACCAATCAGAAGACTGGATTTCTTACCACGTGACTTTGACGTTCGTTGGATTCCTGAGGCATAACAAGGTCAGTTGACAATAAACCGACCAGGCATTTATTTCAAACTATCATTGGAGAGACGTTACGCTTTGTTATCATTTTTCTGGATAAAACATTTTATTGCCAGCCCAATTTKCCGCTTCTGGAAAAGTAATAAGTACAATTTTCATAAAATTATTCATAAAAAGACGTTGAAGCAAAAAAAATATTCTGCGCAGGAGACGAGTGAAGTCAAGGAGATTCTACGCGAAGAAATCTGGTGCGTTTGAATGTGTACTACTGATGCGATGGTCGTCTTGCAGCTCGTTAGAGCTTTTACGCTTTTAATATCTCCCGAGAACATCATTTAAGGGATACAATGGTGATTTTGTAGTGTGGGAGTGCTATTATTTGTCCTGGGGACATGCGAGCATTTATAATATGCAGTCAATTGGTGTTAGATCAGTTGATTTGTGCCGTGGACCCGGTGGCTTTGGTTTTACCCTTTCTAGCCAGGGGCCTTGTGTACTAAGCTGTATTTTAGCTAGTTCTCCTGCTCACAAGGCCGGCTTACGGCCTGGTGACCAAATACTGTTCGTAAATGGAAGTTCAGTGGAGAAATTCCCGCATGAGCAAGTAGTCAAGTTGATTGCTCGTTCACCAAATGGTATCGTGAATCTTGGTGTGCGGAACCGTGCTGATTCTACTGAGGATCTAACCACACWAAAGCCAGCAACTAATAATCGCACTGAAACGGAGACTGCAGTCAACGAGAATATTCTAAATAGTGTAGATAAAGTTGTAGAAGAGCTGAAATCAGGCCAGCTAACTCTTCACAAACAGCCACCTTTGCGCTATGGCTCTCATGAGCAAGCAATCACTGAAGATGAAATTGTTAGCGATGAAGAACTTAGAGCTTCCTTTACAGAAACCCTTCGATCTGAGAGCTCTTGTGATAGCGTATTTATAGACCACAATCACTGTATTGACAATCGKCGTGCTAGCGAGGGAGACGGTCTACCTGGACTATCTGCTCATAAACGATTACACTATCCTGTTTTATCTCCTTTGCAGAACGACTCCGTCACAGACACTGAAACTAAGTCTGAAGCAGATCTAACGGCAGTAGTTGGGTATTTAGGCTCCATCGAACTCCCAGGGAATTCCAGCTTGCAAAGTGCAAGTTTRAACGCCATTCGAAGTTGTGTGCGTCGATTACGCGCGCAGCAAAAGGTTCACGTAATATTTTTATTAGAGGTTTCAATCATTGGGATTCGATTGATTGATAACAATGGCAAAACTGTCGTAACGTACCCTGCCAAGTCACTTGCGTTTACAGGAGTTTGCGCTGATGATAAAAGGGTTTTTGGTGTTGTGACAAAAAAAGTGAATGAAGCACCTCGACCCAACAGCTGGCATACCAATGATATAATAATGGATTCGTCTGCTTCTACTACTGTTACTTCTTCGTGTCATGTGTTTACTGTCGACCCAGAGATCTCCTTACATGACAACCACACAAACATAGCAGAACGATTTCATATTGAATGCAAACCAGTAAATGACAAATGCAAACAATTCTTGGAATCATCTTCACCCATTTTACAAGCTATTGATGATCTTTTTATTGAAAAAACTGATTCTATCTTGTATAATGAAAAGTCGGAGGGCTTGCAATTCCATTCATCCACTCAGTCAAAAGAACATGACATTGAAAATATGAACATTGATTCGCCTTGTCAAAATATCGAAATTGAAAGATATGGCAAAAATGTCTTGGAACAAGAGGAAGTGCTCTTAAGAAAGGAATCACATGTAAATGAATGTATTATGGAAACACCAAAACACAGGATACATGTGAGAGTTACTGACTGCCCAGAATCAATTCCAAACAGTCAATGGCCCTCTGTTAATGAAGAGCCATTTCGACACAGAGTTGTACAAATTGAACATGTTAAAACATTTGTTAAAAGAGATGAAAATGCACTTGAAGAAAGTCAAGTTGCCAGAMAAAATGATACCTTTGTTACAAAGACAAATTATGAGACAAAAGAGARTCATGATGTTGTTGAATATTGTGGCGAGAACAATCAATCAGTGGAAATCATCAAAACAGAAATACCTGAACCTAATGGAGGTTCTCAAGATTTACAAATGTCAGCCAACAGCAAAGAAGATRAGAGTGCTGATTCTAGGTTATCCAATTCACATTTCTTTGTTAATCCTACAAAGAGGCTGAGTCATTCTGCTGAGGTAAGTGAATTGGTGGTTATAGTATTTCTACATTTTTTATGTTTTTTTTTTTTTGCTTTTTTTAGTTTTGCGTTTTTCAAGTTCTGTTTTTAGTATTCACTTGCTTTATTGTAATAATATTTTAGRATGTAATTTACATGATTTTCATAACCTAAGCCATTATATTTTGTTATTAACAGTGGCTGGAATATTTTTCTTTCAAAATGAAAGTTCAATATTTGAGTAATTGTGTACATGGTTAGCATGTTTAAATTAAAGCTGAATGTGATATGGATGCATTTTGATAGCTTTCTTGAATACACTATATTACTTGCTGTGTGCAATTTCATTTAAGTCCATTAGTCATTGGTGTTTTGTTCTCTTTATTCACTGTAAACATTAGCTTTATATTGATGTTGTAAATATAATCAGTGAAAAACCAATAATGCATAGAAAACATGTATCACTTTCTTTGTAGAAAGCTATTAGTGTTTTAAATCTAATCAGGTATTGAACTATTCTGCCATAAATCTGCAACACTGTGATGTATAAATTGTACTTGTTTGAAGAGAATATCTTTGAAAGGCTCTAAATCATTTATATAAAAAATAACTAATCTTTTCTTGAATAATTTGGACAAAGCAGTATTTTTATTGATTTCTTATTTTATTGATAGGACAAAATTTTTGATTTCAAAAAATCACTAGAATTGGAAAAATCTTCTGTTTTATCAGCTGTATGGTTTTGTCAAACCATTGTGTATTAGATAGAAAGTGTCTTGACAGTTTGTTTGACATTGATCTGTTTTAAGGATTACCACGTGTTTCAACCACAAATAAACCCTTTGCCTAAACCTGAATTGTGGTTTTATCCTTGCAGGGAATTTCTTTGTTTTAAGATAAGTGCTGTCTTACATCGTTATTATATTATATAAGTCAAGGGATTTGTGACTTGCACAAATGGACATAATATCATTTTACTTGGTGATTATTATCAGATTGATTTGAAAGACACTATAAAGCTGACACAAAATTAAAACAAATAAGCATACAAAATAACAATATGGTAAATACAAAATAGAGGTTTTTTATCTTGAAAAAAGTACATTATATATCTTAAATGTTCAAAATATTATAAAATGAATATTTACTAATGACATACCATAAAAGTGTAAGTTTCTGGTCATTATAGAAATTTTCATAGTAGTTATTCATAACATGTTTTTTTTCTTTTCTCTTTCAACATCTTGATTGCCTTACATACAAAAGTTTTATTTAGAACATTATTCATCTGTATAGTATATGGTTTCCATTATTTAAAAAATAATTCTTGATTAATCATTAATGATAAAAATGTTATTTTCTGAATTTTTCTGGAGGGGACATAACATTGTATTTTACTTCTCAGTGTTTATAGTGTTGATGTTGATAATAATGTTAAAAAAGTATAAATTTATATTTCTACTGTACTGTGAATCATATTTCTACTGTACTGTGAATCATATTAAGCCATTTGAACTTTAAAAAATGGGCTAAAAGATAATATAGCCCATTAGTTTTTTGTGTAGTCTAGCTTTTAGGTATTGAGATCTAATTGTATTACTTTCCACCAAAATATTATGCAAGTTAATGATACAAAAAAGATTTGAAAAAAGTAAAAAAAACTAGTGAATTTCAAAAATAGTCTGTTTTGCTAGTTAGACCATTWCCAATAGTCTCAGTATGGGAGCCAATCAAATTGAAGGACTCGTGATAGCCAATATGTTGGTGAATATTAAGCACAGATATGCTTGTCATGAACATGTTAAGTTATGGAGAGTCAACAAAAACAGCCAACCAGTTTTGATAGTTGATAATCTTAGCTTAAATCACCATGTATTCATTGAAGACAATACMTATCCTTGTCTGTCACTGGCATTGGATTTTTGAATGTAGCAAGCATTATACTTATGTATTGAACAAGCACCGTCATGATTAATAACTATGATAATGTTTTTACAATTCTCTTACAGAACTTGACGCATAATGATTATGGTAAGTACTGTCTTTTATGAAAATTTTCAAGATATCTTTGATCATATTCTAAAATAGTTTCATGTCGGTAGTCATAATGGTATTTCCTCTTGTTAGTTTATTAATTAAGAAATGTAAGGAAGTGTTAAATGTTTTATGAGCAATCTATCAAATGAAGGCACTTCATAAAGGTCAAGATCTAATGTTATGGTGTATCTCTATCTCWATCTTTTATCTATTCCAATAATTATATAACATTAACTTGGCAATTAGACAAAATATTATATATTTGTACCATTACTACAGTAAGGTCTGTAAATGTTCTGTGGTCTGAAWCTGAATAACAATTAAGCTCAGGATGTTTATCTTTTCTTTGTGATATGTCAACAGATCATTTCAACAGAATAGATGTTGTCACTCTGTYCATCCAAATGCTTCATTTATTCCTTGTGATTATAGTCTATGATCAGGGTTATGATATCCAGAACCATTTTATTTAATGACTTAACTCAAAAACACCTCGTAATAACTCAATTTTAGATAAAAATGAGAAATCATACTGTGGGGCATAAATTATAATCTGACCCTAGGGTTTAGTTAGCCATTGTTTTATTGTTTTGAAAAATTACATGTTTAAAAGGACTGATGATATTGATTATAGTACTTTCAATAAGTGTCTGTTTTGTTTGTTTGATCTTGATTCTTGTAATATTGTTTTAATTTATAAGAGATATTCAGTTATTTTGCATTGAAACATTCACTTCAGTACAACAGTACAGCACAAGAAAAGATATTGTTACTCATTCTGCGAATGCTATTTAATAATCAACAATTAAGCTTCTTTGTATAATGGACTATGAGACGGTTTGTTTTAGTATTCACCAACAAATTGTACCTTTAAGCAGAATGCAAAAAGATATATTTGACATATTTGGAAATTGTTTAACTTGAARAATGCATTTTAAGATATTAGGATTTTAATGTGTAAGTAATTCAGATTTTATTTTTATCCTCCGGTATATTATTAGAGGGTAAGAGAGGTTTGATTGTTTGTTTGGTTGTTAAAAAAATCCTTGCATTAGATGAAGAGTGTTTAAATTTATTATTCAAATATTTATTATTAAATTTATTATTTCATTGTATCCCAGAAACTGTTGTGTCATGCAGCTCAAATCTTAACCTTAGTCCAAGTGTATGCTCCAGTACACATAGTATTCACAGCATCAGTAGTTTRCCAGGAGATGTCTCTGCTATTGAAGGACAAGCCTCTCGATGGGCTCTTGGATTTGATAAACTAATGGAGGATCCTAGTGGCCTAAAATGCTTCCAGGTTTGATATAACCTCTTGATAATTCTTTGAGACAAATGAAGATAAAAATGTTAAGCAGCTTTCAGAATTCTGTAAATTATTTCAACTATTGACTGCAATTTCAAATGTCTTTTGCAAAAGTTTTGTAAAAGTCAACAATTTCTGAACACAGGCAGTGGACATTTTTAGATTACAAAGCACTATGGGAGGAGATTATGACACTTATTGAGATAATAATTTGTACAAAGCAAATTGCTTTTGGAATTTATAATGGATAGAAAGACTAGTTTTATTTTACATAAAGAACTCCTCAATTCCCATGTTACGCTTTTTATGTTAACTTAGTTAGTAGTTTGCGATATTCATAAAAATTTGCATGCTCTATTTAAACCTGTAGGTGCTTGGTTACATAATTGCAATCAATACTATTACGTGTTACTAGGACAGTGTTTTTTCAGAACATTCTTTGTTTATAGGGAAGGAGGTATAATGTTTTGCTGTGACATGTTCCATAGTTGTAACCAATCAATCAACTTCAAAATTCAATATTGCTCAATGTCAAAACTAGTAAATCATTAAAATTCCAGCTACTAGCAMTCACTTTGTAACAATTTTAAAACTGTGTTTCACTGATTATTTTCATTKTTGTAGGAATTCCTCAAAAAAGAGTTTAGTGAAGAAAATGTTGTWTTTTGGGTAGCATGTGAGGAATTCAGAAACCTTACCACAGAGAAAAAGGTGAGAAAGGCAATTCAAATGTGCYATTYAGTCCCTCAAACTTTTGCATAGCATGCATTGATTTAATTTTCTATTTTCTGACGTATATTAGTGATTATATATTGTTTGTTTCCAGCTTAAAGCAGAAGCAATAAATATCTTTGATACACATCTCAGCTCCAATGCAACAATGCCTGTAAACATTGATAGCTCAGCCATTAAACTTGCAGAAGAGAACTTGGCTAATCCAACAAGTGACATGTAYAGGCTTCAACAGCATCAGGTGAGCATTTCTTTAATTTGTAAAATATGTTTTTGTTTTTTGAAAGTCAGTTACATTGATCCAAACACTTGAGCTTCATGGAGAAGCACTCAGGTAATATCTTCTATCTTGGCATAATTCTCAGGTGTTATACATTACATCAACATTATGTAATATATAAAATACAGTATGAGTGGGAGACCTTTATGGGCATATAAAAGTGCGAGCTACAAGCGAGCCGTTTTAGAGCCCATAATGGCCTGACGTGAATATTTAATATAATTGCTTATCAAATTCCAACATAAGCTAAAAGTTAAAGTCGTATGCAAATCAGGACAAATCTCTATGCTCATATAAAGATGCGGTCACGGCAATGATTTTCCATTGTGTTTACCTTATGAATTATTAATGAATTTGATAAGGTAACTATAAAGATGTACTGCAGTCAGCAATAAAATATGTTCAATGATTTGCCAGCKAAAAGAAGARGTGGAAACTTTGGCCAACCTCCTTTTTACTTTCARGAATGAAATACTAATGTTTGCAATACTGTAAATGATACGATTAAAATTATTTGACTGCAAAGCTAGCTGTAAAATTGTAAAAAAGTTACAAAAMTCATTCATTTTTTTCATATCTTTTATATACAGGTGTATACTCTTATGAAGTTTGACAGCTATCCAAGGTTCCTAAAGTCTGATGTGTACCGACAATGTCTTGTAGCTGATATGGAAGGTTTACCATTTCCTTATGATGAGGAAAAGCMTGATAAAGGAAAACTCTTTAAAAAGGTATTGATATTCACACTTTTCGGTTCTAGCCTGCATGCAGTTGGCTTATATTACTTGTTTTACATAAAGGGACTGCACACAGACTATTCTGTTTAGTATCCTAGTAAACTGGGCACACTAAGGGAAGGTACGTTTATTATTGGGAGGGGAGGGCTGGAATGGGAGAGKTTAGGGTCATATATCAATTTTGCAAGTTTTAGGACAGGGTCACATCTTCACTCGAAAGCTTATCTTGGGGAGGTTCATCCTAGTTTTTAAGTTTCAACCTACAGTGTATATATACATGTGGTTTTCTGATCTTTGCAGCTTAATAATAGAGCACCATAGCCAAGAAAAAATGGTATACCATCAAATTAATTTTTCAGGGCATTTATTGTCTTATTGTCTTGCGGCTTGTGAGTGTRGAGTGGGGGATGAGRRTCAARAGTTTAGTTTTAGAATTACTGTGGAAAAATTACTCTGAAAACTCCAACCCTCCTACCATTAATAAACGTACCTACAGTAATTGTGCAGTTGTGTGGAGTTGATCCATACATCAAAACTTTGGGCCAGTGATTTCAAGGCATACTTTGCAGCCTGTGATTTGGCWACAACATTATCTGATGTGGGATATTGTATAACAAGACCATGTTTTCAAGGAACGATTAATATATTGGATTTCACAGTTGCATTGTAAAATTACTAAAATCTAAATTAATTTATTGTTAAACCTTGAAGAGTAAAACATTGTAAAACCATGATATATARCATGATAATATATAAACACATCTCTGGAAAATACCTTTCTAACTGATAAACCTGATGAGTGGCAACGTTTCCAGGGCAATGGCCTTTCACTGTCCTCAGAAGATTCAGAGTGTTCCAGTCTAAGCAGCCGTGGAAGCTACACTTTTGAAATCAAGGTAAACTTGTAAATGATAAACATATTAAAGCTAAATCATATGAATATAAACAAATCGCTTGATATTAGCAAAAGGTAAACAGAACATTTCATCTTAGGTTCATTTATATTTAATATATACTACAATTATTAATAACTATTAATCTAATCACCATCATCAGGCGTAGTGTTAAGAAATTAGCATTAACATGGCGGAATAAACATTAAGCAATAGCCATAAAAAGGAGAAGTTCYCTTGAGGCTTTTAAGCCAGCGTTTATGCAAGGTTTCGCTTGTTTATAGTAGGCCACTTCAAACAAAGTACATTCCAGTTATGACCACAGTCAAGAATGGTGGTATTATTTCAAACAGTTGAAGTGAAGAACTGCTTGATTCCAACTCCWCGGCGAAATCAAAGTTGATGTTGAATAACGACAAAATACAATGGAAATCTTTACAGATTTTTATTTATTTTTTTTTTTTTTATTTTTTTTTTTTTTGAGCGGGTAATTTGTTTAGGTTTCCTTGTTTCTTAGTTTGGTGCGTGCAAAACAGTCGTTTTAAGAAACGTTATAATTAAACAAAAATATATATCTACAAGTTGGTGTTTTTGTCGTTCAGTTTTCTACACATAATAGGTATTTTATATTTTATATATAATTATTGGTAATTATTATAAAACTACTATAATTTTGTTTGGTATGGCAGCGATCAACCAAGGGTTGGGGTAGACGAAGCAGTAAGAAAAGCTCAAGTTCTTACGATGAGCCAAAGACGCCATCAGAAAAGAAAAGGTCATTTCTTCCATGGAAAGGTAGGCAGTTAGGGGTTAAAAAGAAAGGGTTGCCCTGTCGCAAAAGTGGAACTGGCCCAGTTGTGGCACTTTTTGACTTCACTTTCTTTCGTTTTTAAAATAGGAATTATTATTTTYATCCTGATGCGTTCTGCGATCAGTTGATGTTGTTGCTATGTAAAGAAGCAGTTATGTAAAAAGATAAATTAAACACCGTAAAAAAGTAGGAGAAGTAACTTACTGACGTTTCGGACGTTAATCCTTCGTCGGAGTAAAAGTGGGCTCCGACGAAGGATTAACGTCCGAAACGTCAGTAACTTATTTCACATACTTTTTTACGGTGTTAAATTTATCTTTTTACATAACTGTTTCTTTAGAAACACCGACGCAGCTCACACTAGTTTACCGCTAGTTCCCCACCACCTATGTAAAGAAGCGCCTAGATGAAGCATGCCTATCAGAGAGTATATAACTGCGTTCTTTGTAATCCAGGATCATTCAGTAATCATACTGTGATGTACTGAAATTTGTACTCGCTTTTCCATTTCCATCCTATTTTCTTACAAATGTTGAGGTCGAACAGGCAAGTTTATAGATGTACGTTCTTGGCATAATTCAGGTTTTGAGATGGATTCATGTTTTTCTTTTCATTTGTCATGCCAAAGAAGTAACATTGAAATTTTTGCCCTGTTTTTGTGCAATTGATAATAACGATGGAATTACCATAATATTGAACTTTTTGGTACTATCAATGTTCTAATTTTTATTATGTATACTGAAACCGTTCAATTATCTTATATACAGAAATTGCAGAAGTTATGATCATTTTGACTCATATTTCAAGTATTTATAAATATATCAGAAAATATGGGATATCATCGCCAATATTTTTTTCAGAAAGTGGTAGTGCTAGTCAGACAACTTCAAAAAAAAATATCAGCGATAATATCAAATAATGTCTGATATATTTTATCTTGGAATATGAGTCAAAATGATCATAATATCTGTATATTGCTCTATTAGATTCGATGTAACTCTAGAATCTTTTGTTTTCTCCTCATACCTATTTCCAAAAAACGTTGGAGAATGGCGATTGTCGAAGGGACAATGGTTAAGCTGCTTTGACAAACAAAATCTCACTTATTGGATTCACCTTGCGTGGATATGGAGACTAATTCTTACAGTATAAATAAGTTATTTTTCATCAATTAGTAAAAACCATGGCTTCTTTCGAGCAATCGCCATTCGACAATTGACATTCGCCATTTTATCCGACATCCTTTTTACCGTGTCCTTTTTACCGTGTATTTATTTATTTATTTATTTTTTTTTTTTTTTTCACGTAGCAGCTTAGCAATCCCAATGGATCATTATCCAGAGTTTCAAGGTTCGATCCTCGACTCGAGCAATTCTGAAAAATTCTCTTTTTTTTTCTTTCTTTCTTTTTTTAACTGAAGTATAGGTGTTTTAGTCATGTTAGATTTTTATCGTAGCAATTTGTTTTATTAATATTTACTAGCCGCGTTTGTTACATTTTAGAAACAGGACGAACAGAGGATCGCGGGTTCGAATCTCGTCTCGAGTACTTTTTTTCCCTTTCTTTCTTTCTTTCTAAATGTGATATAGTTGTTATAGTCATTTTGATTTTCTGTAGATTTTTAATAATTATTTTCGAGCCATTATTTTGATTCATCTTATTAATTCTCTGAGGATAAATGCGATTGCAATCTGAATGCCAAATTTTCGCTGCAATGATAAAAATATTCAAAAAAATGATGTGAAAAGATCATACGCTAAATCTATAAAATCGATCACGGCGCTGGTAGAAATATATATTAGCGTAACCTGGACACGGTATGTTCCACGAAGTGGTTCTTGTTTGAAATATCTATACATCTATTTCAAAAAACGTTGTCGGGGAGAACGACGAACGACGATTGTCGAAGGGAGATTGCACGACCGAAAGGGACTATGCCGTTTCGATTAAAAAAAAATTACCTGTAGGATTCACCTTGCATAGAATGGAAGCTAAATTGAGGCAATGTCTACCACAGACTAGCCTACAGTATAAACCAGTTGTTATTTCCTTTCAATAGCCGACTTGCGAATTTTGCCGCAGTAGTCACACACAAAGGAATCAAGACGAGGCGCTGCGCATAAAGCTCAGTTAATTCKTGAAAACACAATACGCAAATCGGCTATTGGCAAAACCCATGGCTGTTCAACAATTGACATTCGCCATTTTATCCGACAGCCCTTTTTGAAATGGGTATATATTTCTAGCATGTTAGATTCGAAATCTGATCTAGACTTTAGTGTTTGTACTAAATATTTGTCTCTGCCTTTGTTCCTAAGGAAAGCAGCCAAAGAACAAAGGTACGTTCAATATTTTACACGCAAGTTTTAGCTTTATATCTCTGTAACCATTTCTAAGAAGAATAAAATGCTTTGTTTCAAATTCTTAACCGTTATTTTTTTTAATACTTACGGTTAAGTTGATTGTTTGTAGCTGTTAATCGTCCGTTTGATAGTCAACCAAGCAGCGCAAGAAGTTCATTATCGTCTTTATCTGATTCCTTTCCAAGCATGAGTTACTCCAATGAGGTAAATACATGAAATGTAGTTTAGTTACCAGTTATTCTTCGATCTTTTTAAAAAAGCAAAAAGTTATGACTTTTTCGTGAATGTTATATTATTTCATTTGATTTACACCTGTATGCTCAGGCATGTTTTTAACGGTCGTTTACAATTTTGGTGTAGAATAATTTAGACGACATGGAAATATCAACGAAGTTTTGACACGGAGACCAAGAATACTAAGAGCAAAAGGACACGACTTGTAGTCTATACATCTTGCCTAAGGCCTTAGCACATGCAAGTAATGTTAGTAACGAAAGCTGRCTGATTTTGTGTTTTTCAGTCACTTGAGGGTCGTCGTGAGAGTGACACCTTTCAGTTCTGCCGTGTAGTGATGCCAGACCATTCGTCAACTATAATAACCGCTAAACAAGGRCAGACTTTGCGGCAAGCCTTGACACAGCTCTGCGATAGAAGACACATGTCGTTTGTTACAACCGAGGTGTTTATTGGAGGTTCTGATAGGGTAAGAAAGGTGGATTACTGGAGCCTCTCCCCGCATTCAACCCTTTGCCCATTTAGGTTCAAGAAAGCAGTAGAATGATTAGCGGAAAGGAAGAGAGACGATTGCAGAAGAGGTTAAGTCTGGACATTTGTCATGTGAAATTTGTGTCAAGTGAAGGATCTTGATGTGATTGCGGTGTCTGGTGTATAAGTTAAGAAATAAAAGACGAAATTCAGTGTTTGATACTCTGATCAAAACACGCGGGATGTAGGGAGAGCACGAGAGAAGCGTAGGAAAACACGACGCGTAGCGGAGTGGTTTCCAGCTTTTCGAGTGCTCTCCCTACATCCCAAGTGTTTTGATCAGAGTATCAAACACTGAATTTCGTCTTTTATTTCTTTTCTAAAATTAAAAGAATACGAAAATTGTAAAGAATTCTGAAATACGATATGTGGCTGTCGTCTATCTCTGCAAATCTCGAAGTAGCTTCTGCAGCTTCTAAAACGTTTGATAGCTTCTGGGATATAGTTTCAGAGGACATCATAAATAGGCATTTCTTCTTTCATTGTTCTTGAAAATGAATGATAACAACAACAAATGCAAACGGCGGGAAAAAAGAAATTTTTGACGTGCGCGAGCGTGTTTTGATACTGTAATCAAACATGGTTTTCGACCAATCAYAGCGCGCGTAGTATCCTAAATATTTTAGAAACCTCGTTCACACTTTTGCGTTTTTGTAGAAAGTAGGCCGTTTTTCATTCACATGAGAAAAAAGTACCCAAACAATAYCCACTGTTATGTGGATTCTTTAGTCAGTATACCCCGCAAACAGGATCTCTCTGATTTTTTCGAGGAAGTAAAGAGAGGATGTAGTCACAGGGTACTCGATTTATGCCCCATTTATCTCATATATGACGTATAATCGTACTTCTTTCAGCCTGTACAGGATAARCAGCTGGATGCTGATATTGTCAGCATGGCTGGGAAAGAGATCAACCTCGAGCATAGATCATTATTCAGGTACAGTGCACCTAACGTATCTATGGCTCTACATGTACTGTAAGTAATGTAACTTGTGTTTTACGCTTGATAAMTGGTACGAGTAGTTGCTTGAGTCTGTGAAACGACTGARCAAAATATCCAGCTAACATGATTCGCGTGCACAAATCCTCATTACTGCAAATACTTTGAAATGCCTTTTTAACAAAAACAATGTTTTAGGGTCGAACTATCTAAAGGACTGGCATATTTGGTAAAGGCTAGACCTGATCAGTCAATAYTTGAGAGTATTGAACCCTTACTGGCTCGCTTTAATATGGAATACTCCAGTGTAAMCTTACACTTGGTAAGTCATATTATGCAAAACGAAGCACACATTACAAAAAATCAATAAAAATAGAATAGAATTCAGAGCAATGAGTGTACGTGATTTCATAGATGAAAATGCACTCTTTGAATGGCTAAACTGAAATTTGATTGTGTTAGGTTGATTGTGAAGTACCTTTGGACAGTGGAATCCCAGTGGCCTCAATTGAAAATCAATATATTATCATAGAAAGCAACAATCAGCTGACTGGTAAGTCGGTATAAAGATGTCCCACATCTTGAAAAAGCTTGCGATAATTATGTTAAAATTGCATAATTAAATTCTGAAGTTTCATCTTTCAATATAATTTTGAGGCGATGTACCTTTTCAATTAGTCAACGGATTGCTCTAATTTTAGACACTCAATTGTAGATTCTCATGAACTTTTTTTAACGGTTGATTTCGAATTTCGGATATACACCGAATTGATTTGAAATTCTATATACTCCGAAATTCGAATAGCATTGGCCTAAACATGTTACATTACAGCATTCAGTGATGGYAATCTTTTGACACTAAAACACTGTTTAGTAGAGTGCAAGTCACATAAGCATGAAACAATTCTTAACTATATAGTGCTAGATAAGATTTAGTTATCAACTAACTAAGAATTGAGAACAATGCTACAAAGGAATTTAAATAATTGGCATTGTGTTTATGCTTTGTTGAATTCTTAGTTAGTTGATAACTAAATGTTATTTAGCATTATAAAATTTTTGATATATAACGCGCGCTCTGATTGGCTGACGACCGTGTTTATATCAGAAGACAGAGACACGGCTTACCGGCAAAATTTTCTTTTCGCTCGAAAAATTTTATAAAAGAAATATAAAACGGCCGCTTGTGTCTCTGTCATCTGATATAAACACGGTGGGAGTTGAAAAACACTCGAGAAGCAAGAGAAGCTTGCTTCTCTCGTGTTTTTCGAACTCCCACCGTGTTTATATCAGAGGACAGAGACACGCGCGCCGTTTTATATTTCTTAAATACATATTATCCGACAAATCAAGCGCGAGCGTGCGATTATCCAATCAGAAGAAAGCGCGGGAATCGAACGCTCGCGCTTGTCCCACAAATGACCCACAAATGCTTTCGATTTTTTGTAAATGACACTCTTTGGACGATTTGTCGATAGACTTTCCAATAAATTTTCTGTTTCTTTTGTTAAAAACAATCTGAAGKCAATTTGAAAAAGGCCTAGAGAAAAGAAATGATTAAAAAATTATTTTTCATGAGTTTTACTTTGAGCACTTCGYGCTTTTTCCGTACATTTTGATCCAATTCAAGCATTTTTCTAGGCTAGTTTTTGTCTTGGGAATCAAAATAAATCCTCCTCCATTTCATCTGGCTGGCTAGCGCGCATCTGCTTTACAAGTGCCCCAGCAACATCTCAAAACCATCTCAACTTCGCCCTCCGAACCGACTTGTTTACATTTTTTGTGGGACAACATGGCTGCCATTAYGTGTCCTCTATTTTGATTGGCCAATCCAGCGCGCGAGGATAACGAGTTTGATTTGTCGGAACTATGAATTGTTCTCAATTCTTAGTTAGTTGATAACTAAATCTTATTTAGCACTACATAGTTAAGAATTGTTTCATGCTTATGTGACTTGCACTCTAAACCATGCAGCTTTGTTTATGCTTAGTTTCTTTTTTTTYCGAGTTAAAATGGGAAGGTTTGGGATCTGGAACTTCATTCCTGCGATTTTTGGACATTGCAGGAGAGAAATATACATTTTAACACAGATTCTATATCGAAATCAGTCGAGTATGGTGTCTTCGGGTTTGCTCTTTCTCGCGTGTGTCATTCTTGGTCTTAAAACTTTAGGCCGATTTTTCATTGGAGAAAACAAGATAAAACATAGTTTTTTAAGTCATACGTGGTCATTCCGCCAAGCATTCAAGTGTGACTTAAAGYGAGTTTTGAGCTTCAAAATAMTTATGTTTCATCTATCTGCTTGTGCTATAAGACCTATAACTAAATCTGTTAGTGGCCTGAGTCACATGCTATCCACGACTCCCTATTTTTTGTTGTCGTRACCGGTAACTTCAAAGTCACCGTTACTAATGACAAATATTCGCCACCAAAGTCGGTCATCTTTRTCCTGCTGAAAAGTGTGCTTTCTAACAATGAAATTCAAAGGAAATAATGAAGTAATTGTGAAATGAATTACATCTTATTCAGAATACAAAAACAGTGGTGGTTGGCAAAAACTACCTGTTGTTCAGACAAAATAGACTGTCATAACTGATTCGGGAAAGCTCTTTCTTCTCGGATACCTAAACATTAAACCTAAGATTAAAGCACATTGTGGCAATAACACAGTCAAACGATCAAATACAGTACATTTCTGTCTTACTTGGTGTAATAATATTATATTATTGGCTTCCAAGTCGAACTGTTGGATGGGTGTTATAGACGTTTCAATTTGACCATGTCTGGGCATCAATCTGAGCATGTCTGGGTTTAGTTAGTTCTTACTTTTCTGCGTTAAATTGACCAGAAATAAAATTACTCCAAGTGCGTCCGATGTATTTTTTTTTCTATAAATTGACTTTGTCCATTTAGTAGTTTACTTCAGGATCGTAAACTTGTAGTTTTTCTTAGTACCCTTTGTTAGAGCTGGTACACATAGTCATCCATTGAAATAGACCACACATGACTACAGGTCCGACATCTTGACACTGTGACAATGCTTGTTTTTTTGCAAATTACACTTCAAATCTTTGAGATTTGGAAAGTACTTATTGGTTAACGAGAGATCAAAGCCAGTCGGTTTCTAGTTAGCCAAAAGAACCCTTATTTTACAAAAGAGTACAAGAAAACAGCAGAGTTATTTTTAGCTGAAAGGAAACATATGGCTTATATGCCGTTTTGCCTGCCKCATGTGTAGTTTTGACTAGCCGTCATCTCGCATGGTGGTATTATGTTTATTTTAACCACCTGTGGAATMGGTAAACTTTGAATGCTTCAATTTAGTGCCTCAAATAACACTTAAAAATCCTTTCGCATTAAACATTACTTTTGTTGTTTAAATGTCATTTCTTATCATGCAGTCAATATTTTTGCCATAAAGCAGCTAATYCTGACTTTTGTACRTGAACCCGTTAACGTAGTGTTGGTGAGTAATTGTGATTGGTGAACTTGGTCTATAAGTGTTGGGTGACGTAGCATTCTATTCATTCATGTGTTAATGTGAGTTGTGGTGTGTGCATGTACGCCAGGACGACAAGAAATGTTGAAGTTTGCCGTTTATGGTGAGTGGATTCTATAAAGCTCTTTCTCCGCGAAAAAACSAAATTTGTACTTTCTTTGTGTAGTGCACTTTGTGCGTATTTATSACTATCCACTTTGCATAATGTCTTAAAAAGGCAGTGATGTGATCCAAGGATGTAAACTGTGATTATGATTACATTTTTCCTTATTATTTCTTGTTCTTTCAAAAATTTCATTGGTCGTGTTTTGAAATTGCTTTGARTTTCATTCCTTGAAAATGCCATAGTTAAAACWGATTTTCYTGTTTCTCATTCRTTATACTAAGGCTTGCTCTTGTTGCCATAGATTTTTAAGATCGTTTAGATTGTTTTTATTCTTCAGTTAGTGCTAAAACTTAGCCTACTGAATGTTTTTCTTTTTTAGTTTTCAAGACTGCTCTATTTAAATAAATAGATTGCTAGGAAAGTAGTTTTGTACGGGCGCTAGATAGCTTCAAGGATTTTCATCACAAATATGCGCTTGACAGGTGCTTAGGTGATTTTAGCGTCACGCTTGTTTCGACTTATCAAACATGATGAATGAATTAGTTTTCTTCTAAAGTACTGCCCGCTTTTCGTTGAATGTAGATACTTACAGTCTTCCTGACAAATTTTCATTTCATTTCTTTTGAATTATACGTATTGAATTCAGTGGCCGATTTATGGGAAGATAGACAGGTTATTCTGCATATATCGACAACTAAATTTAGYCCAGAATGTATGGATTGGCTTATTATGTTATAGTTGGTGATGTAAATGTTCGAGACGTATCGTAAACTAATTCTCATCAATTTTCTGTGCGGACAATTATTTGAATGTTATTGAATTGGTTTTTCAGTCAGAGTGTTTTTTTCATTATTTTCATAACATTTGTAAAAGCTACGCTCACTAGTGAGAGATCTTTTCAACATTCGAAGATAAAATCCCCATCTCCGCGCGCCCATGTAATGTGCTAATTTATCTTATAGTTACTGAGATTTACACACGGAAATCTTATTTAGTAAATTCTCGTTCGTAAGCTGAATACACCTTTTCAGTTGCACTTAGGCCTCGATAGCAAGCTAATTATTCTTTTGAATTTGACAAATGAGACTATTCACATCAATGTTTGCATTGCTCACATTCCTACAAATTCAAAAGGATATTTAACACGCTGTCGAGGCCTAAGAGCAACTGAAAAGGTGTATTTAGCCAATCAATAAGACGAACGATATTAGTACGAACCGTCGTCGATTAGAGGAATGTTATCAAGTTTTGAAAGAATGATCTTGTGTTTGAAAAAACACGTAAAACACTGACCTCAAAGCAAAAACAGTTAAAGAAACTTGGGAAGGGAAACAGACCAAACGCTACCGTCGCTATTTCTCAGTTACAATAAACGCTTAAATCAGTCTCCACCACTTACTCCGCCGCTCTACGAAAACCCTCCAATACAGCGGAAAAGAATAAGAATTCAWAGTGACTCTGATGATGAGTAATTTTCATGACTAAGATAGTTTTTTTTGTATGCATTTTTTGTTCAAGTTTTTTAATCATCTCATTGTGTAAACATGCATATTGTTTTGACAAAAATTATTTTCATTTGCCAAAGTTTCTAACTTTAATTTGTAAAGTAAATTAATCTTATATTATAATTAAAAATTAAATCCAGTTTATTTATTAAAGCTATTTTTTCTTACAGTGTCAAAGTTGCTGATTGTACGATTTTAGTCAATAAAGCTATCACTCGATACTGATGTTCGCTCGGACTGTGAACAACAATTATATTAGCTCTATCTTTTTTATATTTTGCTTTCTGAAATCTCAGTAACTATGAGATAAATGAATTACAGAATGAAAAATGCTTGTACCGTTTTTATGCACTCGTTAATGCGTAACTATCAACTCTTGTATAAAAACCGTACGCGCGCAAGCTGTATGATCCAATAATACAGACAGGAGCACAAGACAGAAATGTAATAATATGTACTGACACAAATTTGTCTGCTTGATGGCGCTAMTTTTACGTATAAGTACCAGAAAGCCCGCGTATTTTCTTTGATTTAATCACTTTGGGACGTGCCTTAAAATGTCGATTTTTTCACCTCTTGGTRTATCAGTCGCCAAATGGACATTCGGGCTTCCTGTGGTGAGAATGCCTGGAGCTAAACTTCTTCCTTTTTGTTCTGACCATTTCCCAGTATTGAATTCAGCACATATCAGATTTGGTTTCATGTATAAAAAGGGCATCAACAAATGATAACTAAATATTTTAATATAAATAGAATTAAATTAGACAAAACACCAAATTGAAGCTGTATTACTCTGTTTTCAGTTATTTTRGACGTTTCGGCACTTCGCCCTTCTATATATATAAGCCTCAAGTAATATCATCTACGCGTGAAAATAGCGTAGCTCCATGGATACTCCGCATTGTCATACTCCCCGTCATGRGTGTGCATCACTGATTTGTAGTAACATAGCTCCTGTAGGAACCCATCGTCATGTGAGCTGCAACAAAACGGACAATAGTCCATTTTACAGTTGAACCAAAATTCGAGTCAAGTAGTTTACCAAAACCTTTTACTACGCTATTCTCAATTGTTGTAAAAGATTTTCACGAACTGCGTTATTTCATATGATAATAATATACGATTGTAACACGTGTCTTTATTGAGTTGATTTGGATTTGTAACTTGCTTTATTAATTCACAGCCAACAACAATGGTCCACCAAAGATCAGCATCAAGCCACCAGTGGGCTTCAGTTCCCCACGACATAGCAGCAGGCGGGGTAGCAGCATCGATGATTCCATCTTTGATGACATCGTACGCGGAAAAAAACAGTCTCTGGGCAGCGGTTACTTTGACGACGCAGGTGTCTGGGTACCMGGATTAAAGCCGTTTCGTAGCCAGGAGTCTTTGAATGACGATAGTTTCGGTAGGAGCTTTCTTCGAGGGCCAGGACTGTTTAGTAAAAAGCGCAAAGAAGCGAACGATAAGGATAAATCGTTAAGCAAATCAGGTCGCTACCAGGGCAATACCAAGAATAATACAGAAGTTACAGGTAAATGTCTAATTATCCCACGTGTGTGTGTGTGTGTGTGTTTTTTTTTTTTTTTTTACGAAAATCGCCTCATAGATTCATTTTCTCGGATTATAGACAGCAAATAGAAAAAAAATGTGTTGAAAACTTTCCTCTGGCTTTGCCCTATTTACGTCTATCATCAAGATGATTTTTATGTGTGTTGGCGTTACTAACAAGCGCATTTATTTCTTACTGAAAGCGATTTGATAATGAAATATGGATGCACTATTGAATGGATAGGATGAAACTGTATTTCAACTGTAATACTATGTTATGTAGATAGTTATTTCACTGAAGTAACAAGGTTCCAATACCAAACACTGAACGAAGGCTGATAAATAGAGCTTCACTGATTTACTTCATATGACGCACATGTATTGAAATCTTTTTGATCTTCTTTATGAGAGTTTTAATCGTCTTTACACGAGTATTGGAATTGTGAAGTAAATTTAAAGTTCTTCCAGCGAAAAGGATAAGTTTAGGATAGTTTTGTACAGCATTAATGTTTAATGCGTTTACCATTGTTGAAAGTTTATTAGTTTGATGCTACGTGTATAAGCTAACACGCGTCCTGGTGGACAGTCGGTTAAATGATTGTAGCCAAGTAGGTTATGGCCGCGTTTACCCAGAGTGAAAAAGATTTTAAACGTTCCCAATACGACGAATACGTTTTGATGCGGCAACTCTATGCAAAATACTAAGAACAAATTGAAACGATAAAGTATTGAGGAGAAAATATGTTCTAATACAAACAAGGGAATGTGAATTCCTTTTAAATTATAAATTATAGCCGTATATTAAATGGCGGATATCTTAAATGGCGGGTATCCCTAGTGTGGTAGTGGTCTGAGCGTAAACATCTGAAATCAAACTTTTTTTCAGAATTTATTTTCGTTTTGTTTTCAGAATTATTAGATCTTCTTAGTAGAGCACAGGGTAAAAGGATGGATGATCAAAGAGGAGAGCTTGGCAAACACAGTTTCGAACTTCCCGACTTTTTACGTATTCCTGGTAGTACCATTTCGCCCTTAAACGAGACCCAAAATTCTCCAGCGCCAATCCCACCGCCACCGCCACCACTCCCTGTGTTGCCACTTCACACCACTGGAAGCTTAAAGTTAAGAGGAGAGACTCGACCTGTTGTACGAAAGACACGATCAACTCCATCCGGTGGAGGAGACTTAATGTCAGAGTTGGCTGATAAATTAAGACGGCGATCTACGTCAGAGAACAYGCCAATTCCTGAGGGTCACGAGAGCGAAGACAGCGCGCGCTCATCAGGTAAACCATATGATTCAAGTTTAAGTACAGCGTCACCATGGGAGCCACGTGGCGAACGTTATCGTAGGATCAATACGGTTCGCCCCAGGACAACGGATGGTGCTGTATTCAAGGTTGAGGCGGTGACSCCTGTTCGATTAGACCGGCCTATGAGCCCAACTGGCGTAACCATATTACACTCTGAAAGCATGCCTGATACCCTACAGTCACGCACACGTAGTACCCAACCACTTACAGTGAATGCTATTCGCGGGTTTCCAACATCCACGGGCAATATAATGAACAGAATAGATGAAACTGACAAAAGCTTCCGGGTCGTACAGGCCGTCCAGGTGCATAAATACAACACCAAGCAGAGAACTCTCTCGTCGTCTAGTGCACCCGATTACTCCACGAACATACCGTATGTTTACGAAGTATCTGATGACCAAGAAATGACAAAACCATCGATCAAAAGACGCCAAAGTGATGGTGTGACAAGTTGTGCTAAAGGAAATCTCTCTCCATTTCATATCCCACAGATTAATTCACGAAAGACGGAGGTTTTCGTACCAACTACACCTGGAATTAAACCTTACCGCATTCTAAGCTCCGAGTCCAAACCACGTCCTAAGCCAATAACAAAYTCGGCCGAGTTAATGGCAGGTCTTGAAGAAGACATGAATATACCCCCTATAGTACCACCCCCTCCCCCGTGTGATCTTAGTCTTTCATCGTTTGTTTCACCAAGAGTGGTGCCTACGACTTCGTCAGATAGAAATACCACTAGTCCTTTACCACTTCCCCCTTCACCAATACCCGACCACCTGGGTGAGCTAGAAATCGCGAATTTTCCTCCACCAACTCCGCTGACCAATTTCAAGGGAAAGGTAAATCAATGTACACCATTGACCACGCCCAGTGATGCCATAAATAAGACAATAACACCAGGAACTAGTGAAAGAACCRTTGTTGAGGATCCTTATGATGAAGGAACGCCTTACGGTACACATAAGAACCCAAACAGAGACCCTGCTTCTATGGCCTTCGAGGATTCTCGGACGGCAGTTGGTGGGACAGAAATTCCGAAGAAACTAGACCCGTATGTGACATATGAGAGTGACGATATGAGAATTACATTTGTCTGAGAGTACTTCGGGTACTCCCTCTATTGCATGCATTTCTTTACTCTTTTGCTAATGATTTTCGGTCCGTTGATCTTTGCCCTCTCGACGCCATGCAGTAGCTATTGGATGGTTTTCTATTAAGTACAGTTGAATATTTCACCAGTAATTTGATGCTATTAATAAGGGCGCGTTGTATATATAATAACATATTCGAGTAAARTACTACCCATTGATATTTTATAAAAATCATCAAACAATCATATTTTCCTATAAATATCTCAATGTTTAGCCAAAGAATTCACTTTATAAGAGAGCCATTTCGCAAATTTCAAATTAAGTACGTTTTAGAAGAAAGTCCTAGTGAACTTGTTATTAAAAACCAACTGAGGTACCTTGGTGTTTACATTCCACCTAACTCTTGTTTTGCGTTCGTGTATTTCATAAGAAGTGGCTAATATGTGATATTTAAAGGATAAAAATAGCAAAGATGASAGAAACACATAGGAATTATATTTACGGTGTTTGTAAAATTATCAGGAAATCTATTTTTGAGTTTTTATRATGATATTGTGTTCTCTGCACTCTAAAGTATTTTATTTATCTTTAAGCTTCACGAAATAACGTTATATTATAGGAAACTAAATATTTTTGAACTTTGACGAGAATATCTATCAGATATGGATGAAGTTAAAGAACTCCTTTTTAATGTGAAACGATATAACTACTATGAAAGTTTATTATGGAACTATTTCGCATCTATTGTATTTTGGGGGCGTCCAGTGCCAGTTAGTTGACCTCAAAACAAGTCGACCACACCTGATAATAATATAAAAATTAGGTAACACCTWATAGCGGAGCTCCAATATATGGCAAAAAGAAGAGAATTATGCAGTTCTATTTCAAGGATAGCCTTAGTAGACGTACGCTGTTTYGAGGAATGTATGCGAATAAATATTCTACACATATTTATTCTATTTAGCTCAAAAGGTTCGCATTCTGTAGACCAACATTCGGGGAACTTTAGAATTCAAATCCCCGCATTATATTAAGAGGTTATTAACCGAGCGCGAGGTCTGTACAGGAAATTATTTTTTTCCGGTCCGGTATCCTAGTCATTCGCGCGCTGTAATTGGCTAGCGCGCGATCCGGTTTTTCACGATCTGCCCGGTCCGACGGTATCCTGTAGCTAGGCTGCGAGCAAAGCTGCATRAAATACAAATTAGAAAAATAAAAATGTTATTTACCGGCAAAAATATTGTGTAACCATCACTAACTGAACAAAAAGTTAATAAAGCGTCACGTTGTAACCAAGTCATGCCAAGTAGCCTGCGTAGTGGTCCTGCTCTGAAGGGATTGGCGGGCTTTTCCATTCTCCGCTCGGCCCTCCCCAATCCCTTTAGGGCCGCTACGCAGGCTACCTGCCAAGTTATAAAAGGTCAGATATATAACTTGGCATGACGCTTTATAGTCTCCTTGCAGGGCTCGGTCTGTACTGTCAAGACCTCGGTCTAATATTTTCCCGTACAGATCGAGCAAGCGAGGTTAATAACTGTTTTATTATATGACTTTTACATCGTAGATTATGTAGAAGAATTACTCAAAGTATATAGGAAAAGTCTCACTGGCTAACTTACAACCCGTTRCYTCCYTCTRTCTGATAGCACCGGTTTTTCTCACGATATGAGTAAAATGACACAGAAATCATCATATTTTCAGTAATTSTCGGCTAAAAAGACGGGGATTTTGGCTCCTTGTTTCATAGATTCAGCATATTTTCATACACAAATACATACAACATACTCACAAATTTTCACTGATTCTTTCATCGTCGCGGCCGCCAGTGTAGATTTGTTTACTTTTTCGAAGTGGATGTCCCTCAATATAGAATTACAATTTTCTTTCTTTTCCAACTTGATAGAAGGAGGATTATGCACCGCGAAGTGCTTGAAAGTTCGCCTGTTTTCAGCTGAGTGTTTTCATTAACAAAGCTTGGCATTTGAACGTGAGCTCACACTGATTCAAAATTTTCTTGTGTTTTCAGTTCCTGCATCTTAAAAATCATCGAAGTGGATCTCTCTCAATATAGAATTACAATTTTCTTTCTATTCCAGCAACCGAGGAGTCATTGAATCGAGGAAGTTGTCTTTATAAGAGGAGGATTTCATTCTTGCCAAGACACCGGTTTGAATCCCTTTGGCTTTCAGCCTCACTTGGCTCGGTACTTTGCGAAACGAAACGAAACGAAATCTGTAGTTTGCGAAACTGTAGTTTGCGAAATCTGTAGTTTGCGAAACTGTACTTTGCGAAAATGTAGTTTGCGAAATCTGTAGTTTGCGAAACTGTAGTTTGTGAAGGGTCTGTCTTTTGGTCGAGGGTCGAGGATACCAAGTCGAGGATCGAGGTACTATGTATGGTACTATCGAGGGTACTATGTATGGTACTATCGAGGGTACTATGTATGGTACTATCGAGGGTACTATGTATGGTACTATCGAGGGTACTATGTATGGTACTATCGAGGGTACTATGTATGGTACTATCGAGGGTACTATGTATGGTACTATCGAGGGTACTATGTATGGTACTATCGAGGGTACTATGTATGGTACTATCGAGGGTACTATGTATGGTACTATCGAGGGTACTATGTATGGTACTATCGAGGGTACTATGTATGGTACTATCGAGGGTACTATGTATGGTACTATCGAGGGTACTATGTATGGTACTATCGAGGGTACTATGTATGGT